GAAGGTGATTTGCATGACATGGGAGCTGTTCCTGAGCCTGAAAATCAGCCATAAACAAGAGAAGTTGCTGTCCAGATTTTCGACCATTAATGAGTTGTATTTTCGGTTTATGTTTCTTGCATTTTTGCTTGGAATCTTTGATTAAATGATGCTTATTGTTGATTGAACTCCGAGATCCCAACAAACTGGTATCAGAGCCAGAATATGGAGGTTTTGAGGCTGAAAAACAGCAGAAAACAGACCAGAAAAATAGGCAGAAAACAGGAGAAAAAGGCTGTCCAAAATCTATGCGAAAATCAGACCTTCAAACGCGATTTCCCGCCAAACCAGAAGGAATTTGGAAAATCTGAGACCACCGGCGTGCTCTGCAGATCGAGGAGGTGCTGGTGGGGTGGTGTGTGAATTTTCCGACGACGACGCATGGGCGGTCTCCGGCGAGGTTTTTTCGGGCAGATTTTTTAGTTTAACCTGCTGAACGTATTAATGTGTTTATTTTCGGTTTATGTTTCTTGCATTTTTGCCGTGGAATCTTTGATTAAATGAAGTTTATTGTTGATTGAACTCCGAGATCCCAACACTTTGTTTTGCTGGTGTCTAATTATCAATATTAATGGATTGTTTGACAAAGCTTTTGATAGAAGTTTTATCAGATTTTGATAGAAGTTGATGAAATGTAAGGTCTAAAACTGATAAAAGTTGTAGGCCCCGTGGAATGTGTTGTTAATATTAATTGTTGACTCTAACTTCAAATTTTTAGCAACTTTTTTAAACTTTCCCAAACAAGCACAAAGTTTCAACCATGTCTTCAGGTGAAAGAAGCTCTTGCTCAATCTGGTCTGGAGTCGTCCAACCTCATCATTGGAATAGACTTCACGAAAAGTAATGAATGGATGGGAAAACACTCTTCCAACGAGAAGAGCCTGCATCACATCGGTGAAGGCTTAAATCCATATCAACATGCCATTTCAATTATTGGAAGTACATTATCAGCTTTTGATGAGGATAACCTTATTCCTTGTTTTGGCTTTGGTGATGGTATGCATTACTGGATCTTTCATATAAATCAAAAGAACTTAGCTGACTTTGAAAATGCATTATGATGATATCACGTGCATAATTCTAACCTTTAATCTAATCTTGCAGTTACTACACATGATCAAGATGTATTCAGCTTTTATCCAGATAACAAGCCCTGCAATGGCTTTGAGGAAGTACTATCTCGTTATAGAGAGATTGTTCCAAATGTTCGGTTAGCAGGTTAATCAATCTACTTTTTTTAATTTGCTAATTACTAGTAATGTTACTTCTTTATGGGAAACGGGTTTCTGTTTGTCTAGGACCGACATCATATGCCCCGATAATTGAAACTGCTATCGGGGTGGTTGATAAGAGTGGAGGTCAGTATCATGTTCTACTGATCATCGTTGATGGGCAGGTTAGTTTAAGCATGATTTTATATTTCTCTTTTAGTTTTCCTATTCCCAGTCGACCCCCAAGAGGATTGGACATTATTATCGACTAAGGTCTCTAGTCTGACATTCTTAATTGTAACAAAAATAATGAAGGTGACACGAAGTGTAGACACCAGCGTTGGCCAGTTAAGTCCTCAAGAGCGAAGCACAGTTGAAGCAATTGTTAAAGCAAGGTTGCACATTTTGAATGAATAGTTTCGCTCACATGAACATCAGGTTTACAATAAAAAAATTTCAGTGATGTATTATTGCCATTGCAGTAACTATCCACTGTCAATAGTCTTGGTTGGAGTTGGTGATGGGCCATGGCACATGATGCAAAAGTTTGACGATAATATTCCGGCCAGGGCTTTTGATAATATTCAGGTTAGAACTGGTCCTTCAAGCATCCTCAATCCCTGTATTATTCATGCTCAACTTGTTGAACTGTGTGGAACGAAACCATAGTATTTCAGTTGCACAAATTACCCATTTTCGTTCAAGGGTATGTTTCGTATTCTATATCTATGTTCAGTCACCCTCGTATCGTACAGTATAATTGATCTTTAGCGAATCGTTTTCTGTGACAAGACTGTGAGGCACAAGTTTACTGTTGTAATCTTCTTTTTCTCCATAACAGTGAAAAACTCGTAGTGTCTAGTAGAAGTAACTTTCATATTGAAAGTAAACCACTATAAATCTGTGTTTTACTTGTTTCATTTCTTTTATTGCTCTCTAGAAACAAGGAAATCACCATTTCATCGTTCTGTGGAACACAGTTTGTTAACTTTACAGAAATCATGGTGAGGAATGTCCCTTTAGCCCAGAAGGAAGCAGAGTTTGCTTTAGCTGCATTAATGGAAATTCCCTTACAATACAGAGCAACATTGGAGCTCCAGCTTCTTAGGTGTGTATACTTCTGTATTAATTTCTTGCCTAATGGTGAAAGAAAAATCAAGAATCATAAAATGCTAAATGCAAATCCTTTTTTGCAGCAACAGGAGAGGAATACCTGGAAAAGCTCCTTTACCACCTCCATCAGGGAACTTCAGGTCTTCAAATCCCCCTGCAAATTATTTCCCGTCGAGCAGCTTTGCACAATATTATACAGCTTTCTGTCCACCTTCTCCCACTCCAACAGGAAATTTTTCATCTAATAGGGTACGTCTCTACTCATGTAGTTTTGTTTCATCGCCCGTACTTTAGTACTCAGATGAGTTGGTTTTCGTGATTTCTTGATGATTCATCAATGCTTCACAGAACTGCCCGATTTGTTACTGGCACAAGCGAGATCTTGCATTCGGATGTGGACATCAGGTAAGCAGAAATGAGAACGCGGAATCTAAAGTCTTATATTCTTGCTTCGTTTAGTTCTTAAACTTCACGGTAATCTTTGCAGACGTGCAACGACTGTGGTCGAGACTTGCCCCTGTGCCCGATCTGTCGTATGCGGATAAGCACCAGGATAAGGCTTTATGAATGATGTCTCAAAGTTTAAGCCCATGCTGTAGGCATTGATATGGATAATGGTGGAATTGTTTGTAAACATGAAATCTTCCAAGAAATGTTTATATTTCAACATCTTCCAGAATATATTGAATAAAAACTCTGCCCATTTGCCGAGGCCATCCCTCTAAAAGATTGCACTGCTGATCGTAAGTAACAACTAATTAATCTAAAATGCTATTATCTGCGAAGTATATCTTCTATTTTTTCGATATTTTCCAGTTTCAGAAGAGGGAAA